TCCTAGCAAATTGCCTATGACTCGCATGGCTTGCATAGAACCTATTCCTATCAGAGCATGGAGGGAGATATCAACTTCTTGGTTAGGGCCCACCGGATTGACTTCCCCATCTGTGGGTATGAAGGGGTCCACATCAGGGGTTTCATCATCTAGTTACAAGTGGTATTGGGCCTTGCACTTGTGGCCCAACCCAAGCTTATCATTGCAATTGTAGCATAGACCTTTTTCGCATTAGGCTTCGACCCATGAAAGGCTCTTAAAAGGTACAATGGGACGAGGTAAGCGGGCCTTGTGGGCTCAAACACAGGCTTATGGACCACCAGTTCAGCCTTAGGAGGGTTCTTCAAGATTGGGCTGATGGAGTAGTCAATCCTCCTCATTTGGTCTAACCGTTCTTGTAGTTTGGCCATGCCCACTGCTGCCATGACTGTCAACAGTTGTAACGCCTTAACCTCCAAGCATATATCATCTCTTAATTCCCTAATGAAACAACCCACCAGTACTGTTTCTAGCCACCTGAAAACATGAGAAGATAGACATTCAAATTCCAGTTGATACTCCATCACTCTTCCAGTTTGTTTCAGCTTGGTAAGTTGCTCGTTATAGTTCACAAATGTAGTAGGGCCTCAATGAACTCTGGCCCACCTGCGGTTGGGAGTGTTAGACAGTTATGCCCTTAGCTCCAATCAGATTGATGTACTTATTGACCATTATTGTAAATGAATGAAGTACATAATTGATTCATGTTATTATGGTGTGTTTTTGTGTAATACCCTTAAATTGGACACTAATGAGACTCGTGTTAGTTTAGAATCTTCACAGCCGTTGGATAGACTTGGAGAGGTTTATCCTACCAAGGCTGACACTAAAGTGCTGCCAAGAAGGTTGGGGTGGCTTGTCTCAACTGCCAGGGTGAGACCTGAAGTGCATGTAGTGTGGGTTTGATTGAAACTCCGAACCGGACCATTTTCCAGTTATGCCCTGGGCCTTGGAGACAGATGGGCAAAACTGGAAAGTTACACCTAACCCCTAGACTCGATTATGGTACTACACTAGGTGTTGGATTGAACTGTCTTTAATATGCCAATCAGTGAGATCCTTAGCAGGGGTCAAAACCTGGGTATGTTGGGGCAGTCTGAGAATTCACCTGAGTGTGTGATCATAGTGACAGAATCAACCCCTTTGTCAGACAAAGTGAATGGCTGGGGAATGCACTCTCTCTAATGGAAACCTAAACTACCCTCAGTTGATTTCAAACTTGTTGAGATTTGTTTTTGCAAAATATATTTATATAGAGATATACATATATATTATGGTTTCACAAAATGTTTGTATAAGGTTTTAATTCCCGGGATCCATGTGAGTAGAGAGTGCAACACTGTACCTTGTAGCTGAGAGAGAGGTCCTCTCTTGTCGGGCAATATTTGATAATTATGGGCTGAGAGGTTAAGTGTAAGACCATTTAGGTTTTTTACCTGATGGGCTAATCTCACATAAGTCCATAGTCCTTGGGCCTTCATAAGGTGGCTGGACTCAGGGACCATTTAGTGTAAATGTGGGGCCTGGTAAGAGCCCATACTGATGGGCTCAGGGGTTCACTGTCTTCAGTAGTGAATTCGGCCAGGCCTTGTAACAAAGGCTAGGTTGAACCCAATGGCTTTTGTGGAGATCAATGCTAGGGTCCCACGCCATACAAAGAGAGCCAAACTAGCCAGTATTTAAAAGGGAAAGTGAGACATTTGACTTAATGGGCTTAAAGCCCATTTTGAACTGGGTTTAAGTGATTTAATTAAATGGGGTGAATTAGGTTTATAATCTAATTAGGATCAGCAAGAGGATAAGATATGTCTTATCCACATAAGAGTCCAGATCCAAATATCAGATTTGGATCAAGTTAGTTGATCCAAAGAAGGTTATAAATAAGTGGGCGAATTCCTCAGTTTAAGCAAATTCAACATTCTACAGTTTTCTCCCTTAGCTCTTGCCGCCCCTACCCAGTTCGATCTCCATTCTTGGAATTGATCAAGGTTAGATCTTGATATTATTTCTTGCTAGAAGAAACAATCTGAAGTCGTGCTCACACCCTACGTGATTCTTGTTGAAGATTTGGGGTTCTTGCTGAAGAACCTCCTTGATGATCCTGCCTCACCATAAGCTGTCATATTTAGTGGAGGTGGGTTTTGGTGACTTCTTTGGGCGTGAACACCTACATTGGGAGTTACTTACGTTGATTTCGTATCGGGTATACCCATTTCCCTCTTTTGGTTTCAGATCTGGTCCGGTTTGTTTCAAGAATGAACCTTGAAAAATGCAATTTTTCTAAATTAGGGACCCAGATGGGAGAAAGAAATTTTTGAAATTTCGCCCAGCCACCCTGCATGGTTCGACCATCCATATGATGGATCTCCCATGCCTTCAGGGAGTGGCGTTACCATTGAAACTAGAGGATCACATCACCGTCTAAATGGATGGAAGCGAGTGACACTCACTGGTGTGAAGGGATTTTGCGGTATTCAAAATACTAATTGGCCTTGAAGATCCAGGGGATGGGATCTCGCCTAAATACTTTGGAAAATCTATTTGGGTTACCTTGCTTGGAAGTGGTGCGCCGCCCCTCCCCTCGTGGTAGTTCCAGTTTTCCATCTCACCATCTCAATGACTGGACTCCCTCCTCTGTTGTTGGTAGGCCATGGCAGACATGGGGGTCCTGAAGTTCCTTCAGCTCAGTGACCACCTGGTGCAAATCCAATTCAATCTGATTGACCCACTCGTTGTCTATAGTAGTTCATGTCGGTGGCATTGGAAGCGGTAGCCTGCCTCTGATACCAACTGGTAGGAACCGCCTACCACGGTAGCCTCTTCGAGGGAGACTTGCCTCTTGAGAGCAAAGAAGATAGAGGAAGAAGAAAGGTTTCTATTCATGTCTTTATTACAAAATTGGGAGCCTTTTATACTGGCTCAGGTGGCTCAATGTGAGAATCAGATATTCCCATGTGCAGAGGTAACTAACTCTGGGATTAGATCTGCTGCCATGGCTGCTGGTCCCCTCTGTCTTATAACGAACTGTTGCGAAATGGGTGGCTTTGTAACTGGATTATTGGGGGCTCTTGGGCTTGGGCATGGTAGGCTGAAGTGGCTGCAACACAAGTTCTCTGCCAAAGTGTTGGTTGATCTTGAGATCCATCTAAATGAGATCTTCACTTTGGAAGCCAGGGCCTTTGCCTTGAGCATGATGCAAAAGTGCCCAGGTTCTTGTTTGCCACCTTTAGACCATGGACTATCCAAAGAGCAAAGGAATTGAATATCAGGAGGCTGATCAATGAAGGTGATTCAAAGTTGGTAGTGGGCTGGCTGCAAAAGGAGGAGATTGGTTGGTGGAACCATGTTAATGAGAGAAGAAAAGAGGTGCTAATTCTTTTGCTGATCCTTTTGGCAAAAAAAGGGGTGGGAAGAGAGCAACTTTTCTGGGCTGTGTTGTATTTAGTTTAATCAGTTATCATCTCGGAGAGAGTTAAGAGAGTTTACCTCACCTTTGTGTTCTCTTGTATCTTTTATTTATTTTTAATGAAAATTTACTGTTATTGATTAAATAAAAGAATTCCCACCCCACCTTCACCAGCTATGATCCAATGGAAACCATCAATAAGGGGCCCTGAAGTATGGCCTTCATATCTGCACAAACTCAATAGATAAATCCAATAGGACATAAATTAAGCTAATGCAATCTCTTTGAGTCTTTCTTCTCAAAAAAAAAAAACTCTTTTGAGTCTCTTGTTGCATCCCTGGAAGATCTTCCCATTATAAAAAAGTTCTTATGTTTTATCAAAAAAATTCTAGGTCTGTTATGTGTAGGTGGAGTTTTAGGGACCACTTTGGTGACATTGTACTTAGTCTTTTGGGGACGGAAGACCTAGTTTTTTGGGAAAGGGCTTCGGACTTGTCAGATTTTGCTCCTAGGGAATTGCTGGCAGTTGTGGCATAGGCTGCAATGGGCACCAAAAAAATAATACTTTTGATGGACGCTGTCTTGGAAATCAAGGTCTGTTATGTGTAGGTGGAGTTTTAGGGACCTCTTTGGTGACATTGTACTTGGTTTTCTGAGGACGGCAGGCAAAAAAAGCATCAGTGAAGGTACAACTTCTTGCATATTGCATTAGTCCAAGACTTAAAGCTGGCACATGCCTTGGCTTGGAAAGGGTTGCTCATGAAGGGGGATAACCATGTGGTGGTTGGGTGCATCTTAACAAGAGTTGAAGGCCCATTGATCCAATGTTTTAAAAACCAATCTGGAGACAGAACTGTTTTTCCATCTGTATTGCAGGTCAGCGATTCAACTGTTTGGGTCAAATGGGCCCAAAAATTTACCTGAGGGAAAATTTTTGTGGGCCCTACAGTCCCTGCAAAAAAACGTGGGGAGCTTGGTCAACTTCTCCATTGACCAACTTCCCCCTCCCTTTTACAGTGTAAAAGAACAGGCCTTCAAGCTTAACCAATATGGTTCTCAGTGTTGTTTCTGATAAAAATATGTCCAATTATACAAATGCAAACATGGATACATGCTTTCTGACATGTAGATGGTCAAATTTACTTTGTAATGTTGTCTGCAAATTACTTACACTATTTTAGTTTATCAACATTTTACTTGTTTTACCATGTATTGTACCCAAAAAAATATGTATAATTGCAGATTATTGACAAAAAATGGAACAGAGGTTGCATGACAAAATGCATAAAAAAGAAATAAACTTCGATAGGGATAATAATTGTAGATTATGCATTTTTCACATCCTACTAGCAAGTTTTAATAATCTAGTTATCTGATTACTTTTTAGAATTTTCAGTTGTTTGGTTGTGTTTATAGCATTTCCATCATAAAGACATGAGCTATCTCTCTGGTACTTCAATTTCCTTCTACCATATACAAATGGTTCATCTGAAGTTATTGCAATTTACTTTGTTTGTGAAATATCACATTTTTGTTAAACCTGTACATCAACCAGGTATCGGGGGACAGACTGCTTTGAAGCTCATTCGTCAACATGGTTCTATAGAGAATATAATAGAGAACATTAACAAAGAGAGGTGCTTCTCATCCTTTAATTCAAAATTTATTTGTTTAAAATATTCTACATGTATTTCTTATGGTTTAGTTTGAAATATTCTATTCTTTGAGATTTATGGTTTGGTGTATGTACAGATGCTCAAGTTTTGAGAACTATGATGGATGTGTTTTTGATGGTTGGGTGTTAAAAAGGGGTTGTTTTGTAATTGGTTTCTTGTCATCTTTTCATTTTCTTGTATACCACATGTACTTTTCCAGAAGGGGCCATTTCTCCATGCAATGGTTAAATATTAAATATTGATCTAAGTTATTTTCTTTAGTTAAGAAAGATAAGTAACTTCTCTTTGCTGATAAAAAAATATTAGGTTGACAAGCATTTAAACACAGGAACCTATAATCACTCTATAGTTTATAGGAATATCTTACCACAAACACAAGCACGGGTTTTACTAAAAACATCATACTCCCTTTCTGTTATTAAAAACATAGCTCTAGGCTTTAAGGTTGGCCAGACCATGGACTTATGACCGATGTTTTAATACTCAGACTGGACACAAAACTGGAATGCTTGCCGGGTCATGGGTCAAAAGGTTTGACTGCGAGTTGCATAAAAACCATATTTAATAGGTTTTGAAATTTATGGTGTAAGCATAAGTGGTGGCTAGATGGTTATGATATTGCTTTGTGATATAAATGACCAGGGTTCAAGTCTTGTTACTTGCCTTTTATTCCTTATATATGTGTGTGTGTATTTAATCAATAATATACATTAAAGATACATAAATTAGCACACAAAACATGATAGATAAACTTGCATGCTAACACATGTAATTAGGAGGTCTTTAGTTCAAATCTTTCTATTTGCATTTTAAAGTTCATAATGACTTGGTGACGACCTGGGCAGGTTGTAGAAAACTGGCTAGGTTGTTGAAACTCAGCTGGTTTTCAATGGTTTCCTCTGGTTTTTCAGAAAAATGAAAACCGGAATTCCTTCTGGTTCCTGGGTTGAATGGTCCGACCATTTGGTCTGGTCCTAGTCTTTCAACATAGGTTAGGACTAGGAAAACTCACAATTGCAATTCTACCATTAGTTTCCTTTGGCCAAAAGGACACTATAACTACTGTTCTACTTATCCAATAGCTATTAAAATTTAAACATTATTAAGACTATAGTGACATGACTCTTTAGGCCAGACTCTACTTGCTACAAATAAAATTACCAATATACTGTGGGGTCAATTCAGCCTAAATTTCCATGAATCACACTTTTGCCATATCAACACCTACAAATTGGATAGTTCTTGGTGTGGATGGCTAAATGATTTGCTTATTGGTTAAAGAATCAGGTGAAAACTAAAGAATTTGCTAGTTGTTTAGGGATTGAGTTGCAGATGAAGGATAGTAAGGCGCTATGCTAAAAGGTAACTGAGGTTTTGGTTGAAATTTAGGAATTACGGGTTTGATTAAAGGTTAAGAACTAGTTCTCAGGATGTTTGCAGAAAATTGGTGTGAGTTAAAAAAACTCTTGGGTTTTGAAGACATATCCAAACATGAGAAAAGTATTATGTAAATACATGTTATTTATAAACTACTTAACTGAAGGGCAGCCCAGTGCATGAGGCTCCCGCCAATGCGGGATCTGGTGAGGGGTAGATGTACGCTGCTTTACCCCTGCACATACAGAGAGGCTGTTTCCAATATTTGAACCATTGTCACCCAGGTCGCAATGGAGGAATCCAACCGTTGTGCTGAGGCCCACCCTCAATTATAATCTACTTAACTACAAAAACTAAATTTTGTAAATGGTTTAATGGAAAATTGCATCTTAGCTTCAGAAGAAATGACAAGCTTTGAATAGCATCCTGATGCACAGGGATTAAGAACCTAATCTTTAGCTCTGCATACACTTATGATGATCCAAATGGATTGCACACGTATCAATTATAAAACGGGACACGATTACTTATTTTCCCCAACTTAGATGTTTATATCTGCATCCCTGGTTGGCCACATAAGTGGTAAGCTTCAAAAATGCCTAGGTGGCTGCCTAGTTGATGTCTAGGTGATGCTTTGCAAAGGAAAATTAAAAAATAAAAAATTACCTCTAGATATTTTTGTTTTGTATTTTTCCTCACTTTTCCATGTCTTTCATTCTTTGCTAACGCCAGTCACTTTTGCCTGAATATGTAGGTATCAAATACCTGAGAATTGGCCTTATCTAGAGGCTCGACGTCTTTTTAAAGAACCTTTAGTATCCGCTGATGGTGAGCAATTAGAACTTAAATGGACTCCTCCGGACGAAGAGGTGAGTGCTAGGGTTTTTTCTATTGATTTTAATGATTTTCAACATTTTGTATTCTTAGAAGATTATCATTTTTTACCCATCTTTAGGGGCTCATAAACTTTCTGGTGAATGAAAATGGGTTCAATAATGATCGAGTCACAAAGGTAAGCTCTTCATTGGTTACACGTTTCTTAACTATATTTTCTGTCAGGTCCTATTGTAGATCAAAAACAAATGATCCATCATTTACATTTGTTTATATTTTGAATAGGCAATAGAGAAAATAAAAGCTGCCAAGAACAAGTCATCCCAGGGCCGGTAAGTATTCTTGATTGAATGAAAATTAATGCACGGAAATTAGAAACAAAAAAATTATTGCACAGAAATTCTCCTTTTTGAGCCCATTCCTAGTTGTTATTGTTTTCTTTTGCAGATTAGAATCCTTCTTTAAGCCAGTTGTGAGCACATCTGTACCCCTCAAGCGGAAGGTATTGTTTATATCTATATATTTTTATCCATCCATCAGTACTAATTTGAATTTTGAACAAGTTTTGAACCTGTATTGCGTCATACTTTTAACATTTTTTATCAGTAACAGTGAATTTCATTAATAGAAAAATGAATCGAGTACGTAAAACTTGAGAATACAGTCATAGAGAGATAAACTGTCATGTCTCTCCCCCACGAATTCTTTCTTTTTGCTTACAACTATGTCCTAAAAAAGTTGATCTCTCCTCACCCCTTGTTTGGCTAAAGCAATGGTCAAGGAGTTGGCACTTCTTCTGATCCAATGCAGCCTCACTTCCATGTTTTTTTGTCAGGCATCTGAATTTCTTTTTTCATTCTTGTAATTCCACAACTTTGCCTCTTTACTTTGTAACCAACCCACAACCACCTTGGAGTCTCCTTTAGTGATTAGTTTCCTAATGTTCAAATTTCTTGCCTTTTGTACTCCCTCGAGCATTGTCATAACTTCAGCCCTTAAAAGAATCCCCTACACCAATTGAGCCTGCATATAATGTAACCAACTTGTCCTCATCATCCATACACACCCCTTCAATTTCTAAAATTTCGGGATTTCCCAAGCTGCTTAAATCAAAATTAAGGGCCCATTTGGTGCGTCTTTCCGCGTGGTCTTTCGGCTGTTTACAAGCCGGGCAGACTGATTTTCGGTCTATTTCTGTTTGGCTTGTGGAAGATCTAGCCGCCAAAAGCTGGAGCACCGAAAAGGCGTGAAAAGCCCATTTTGGGGAGCTCCAAATGAAGCTTTTTGTGTCTTTCGCATTTTATTCTCGTGCGGAAAGACACGGAAAGACGCATGGAAGTACGTGCTTCGGGCTGCTCAGGTCTTCATGCAAAAGCTCAATATGCCTTTTGACTGTCAATATATTTTGCATGCTTTCCTCAAATGCATTACTTCAAGTAGCTAATGTGATGTAAAACATATTGCATTCCTGATTCTATGAGCGGCCTTTCTACCATGCTCCTCAAGGAAAGCCTAAACAAGTCTATGTTAGGGTCTTAAGTTCTTAATACTCACACAAAAAATAAAATTAGATAATTTTAATTGCCTTTTAAGAAGATATTTTATTAGGATGAAAGAATGAACAACATTAACAAATAGGGTGTCTGGGGGCAGAGCCCCCGACCCAGCCACTAGGTTAAAAAACAAAAAAAGCGTAAAAATTTTAAAAGGCGCACACCTAGGCGCACCAGGTGTGCCTTTTGAAAATGCTGTGCCTAGGACCTAAAAGAGGCACATACCCTAAAATGTGCCTCGCCTGTGAGGCACACCTTTTTAAATCACAAACTCCTCCAGATTGTGGATCTTGCACTGATTGGATGTGGTCATTACCCTCACTTGTAAATTTTTGCCTTTGTTGTTGGAGGGTGTTGTGTGTGCTGTGAGGGTGCTTGTTTCAGTTTTTTTTTTTTCCTTATGTGTTTTTTGTGGTGTTGCTTTTTAGAGTCTCTTCCCTCATTCACTTTGTGTGAATTTGGTTCTGTTATACATTATTTATCTTCCAAATAAAGGGGTGGAAGAGCAATGAATTGGTACTAGAGTTGGCCAATGAACCAAAACTGAGACCTGTTCAATCATGCAATCCTTTCTACAGCATATCGTTGATGTGGGGCATGATATAGGTGAACAACCAAGGAAAAATCATTTCAGGATAATGTATCTATATCTATTCCTTTATAGAATACCTATCTTTCAAATAAAGGGTAGTAAGAGCAATATAACAAAATTAGAGTTGGAGAATTACTAAGAATGGTATCTGTTGAACCATGGACAAACTAGATGTTTCACGTGGTTTGCTATCTTTAACTTAATCAGCTCCATGGTTGGACTAAGGCAGTATAGGATCTCGTCCTGTGTTAAAACATTGGAAAGAATCTGCAGTTGAAATCTTATTCAGGTCTTTTGGGAAAAAGATGTAGTTGATTTTTGGTACATTCGGTGACAGGAAAACAAATGCATGCTTGGAACTCCTAGACCAATACTCAAGCCTAAGATGTTCTCTCTCCAAGTTCATGCCCACTTGAGCCCCAAAGTCATTCGCGGCATGAACCTGCTGACTCTGGATCTGGTTTCTAAGCAACCGGGGCCATTCTCCAGATGTGTCTGCTTCAGCTCCTTATGCTGAGAACCTTGGTGAACCTCTTCTTAAACCAATATCTGTTTCCATCTCAATACATGTATTGATATAAAAGGTGCTTTGCTTTTTTTTGGTGGACATACATGAAAACTGTTCCTTTGATCTCATCAGGTGTATGATCACTTTACAATTTTTTGAGACCACAGAATCTTGTTTGTATCATAGAATACAAATGGAAAGGGCATTCAGGAAAACATGCTTATTGAAGCTTAATATGAAAGTAGATTCTAATGGTGCAGGTATCTTTATAAAACATAGGCATGAGAAAGAAGGAAACTTCCTCTTTAACTTGTTAATTTCCAAAAGTGTTTGTTGTTGAGAACACTAACCTTTGTTCATCTTCATATCTATATGATTGAATTATATTTTATCATGCTGCTCATGGCACTCAAACTAGTCCTAGAACTTTTACAAGCACTGATCTTAGCACCAATTTGTCAATGTGGCATTTATTAGGAAACCCTGGAAAGAAGTAGTAGATACTGAAATGCAGGTCTTGATTTGGTTCGTCTACCCAAAGGTGCATTGGTTGATGGTAGTAAGCATGTGTAGTGTAGGTTTTGTCTGTTTTTTGAGGATAAATCCCTATTATATAGGATCGTTTGCTGTGTAGTGTGGCTAGTGCCTAACTCTACGGGCCTGAACGCTATGAGGCCATACTTGAACATGTTTACCTTGTGAGTTTTATGACAATACATTCGTTTCTATTAAAAAAAACTGCACTAAAGATTGTCGTAGCTCTATTGGTCAACTAGTTAGGGATATTTTGGTCTGTTTACTTTGTTTTATTTTAATTATGTATTTACAGGTCTGTCCAAGTTTAAGTTACTGTTGCAGCATTTAGTTAGGGGCAGTATTGTCTTTGTATGTAGATTAGGTAAGTATATAAATAGATCTGGCCAACTGGAGGAGATCAATTCTACTCTCTCCTTTTCTCTCATTTGTTTCTCTCCCCTTCTCTTCTTTCACTCTCCTTTCTATCTCTAGAAGCAGTCAAGCCCTGTTGGCAAAATGTATGCCAAGGATGGGGGTGGGTTGGGCAGGAGATGTGGGTAAAAGAAATAAGGGACTTTTAGGATAATGGTTATGGATATCACCTCTTGAGGAGAAACATGGTGTAGTGTGTTGGTTAGAGTTCATGGGCTGAAGGACAATGGTTGGGATCATGGGATGTTGGCTTAATTTCTAGGGTGACTTGGGGCTGCTCCTTGGAAGGCAATGCATGATATTCTCTCTATCTTCAGTTAGTGTATAAGGTATGATCTTTGCTCTGGCAACAAAACTAAGTTTTGGAAGGTCCCCTTCCTTGTACTCTTTGTCCTCTTTCATATTGAAGCCTATTTCTAGCTTTGTTTCTAGGGGTGGAAACAAGGCGGGTTTAGGGAGCGTTTTGTAAATTCTAGACCCTCCCCACATCCCCAAACATCACAATTCATATCCTCCCCAAACCTGCAGTGGGTTGGATTTTCAAAATCCAAACCCTCCCCACACATAAAAAATGCAAAAACACTCCCCGATCCTACCCTCCCCACATTTGAGGGTGGGGTGGTTGGGTCTAAAACCGACATCTAATTTTCTGTTATTTCCTGTTATATGTAAGTAATAAAGTAGAAAATTAACATTAACAAATATCAAAATTTCCAATTATTTGATTGAAACATGTAAGTTATTGATTATCTCCTTCACATAACATTCAAAGCAATATTAATTTATACAAAGTTTGAGTGCCTTACAACAGTAATTTAATTTTAAGCATTAGGGATATTTTAGTAATTGCAATGTGCGGGTTGAGGAGGGTTGGGTTTAGCCTAATACTGTAACCCACCCTACCCTACCCGTATGGGTTGTAAAATCAAAAAACATGTCCCCACCCCAAAACCCATTCATCAACCAAAAAAACCCGCCCCATCAGGGATGGTAGGGATGGGTACCTGCCGGGTAGGGTGGAAATTGGCATCCCCATTCATAGCTCCTTCCTTCTCTGCTTCCAGGTTTGTTTGTGATTTCGGCTTCAAAATAGGCATTTATGATTCAGAATTCCCTTTGGTTATTGATCTGTTGAATTCTTTAAGAGGTTTCCCTTGACCCTCTTAAAACTGATGGGTGTATATGGACACCCAATCCTTTGGGTACGTTATCTTGTGCCTCTTTCTATCAGGTTTTGTCTCATTTCTCCACCTTGCAGCTGTTTCCAATGTAAGAGATTTTGAATAAACTTGGTCCCCTCAAAGTGGGATATTTTTGCTACGCCTTTCATGGGAAGATCAATACTTGTGATTTGCTTCAAAAGAGAAGACCAAATTGGTCCTTATCTCCAAATGGAAGTAAGACTGCAATGAGTAAAAAGAAGTGCCGAGTCTTTGCTGATGTATTAGCTAAAAAGGGGGTGGTAAGATCAATGTTTTTGGGCTTTGTTGTAATTTTGAGTAATTTCTGTGGGAGATTAAGAGAGAATATCTCTCCCCTTTGCTCTTTGGTAGTTTTTTGGACTGTGTTGGAAGTGAGGATATCATTAGATAGCTTCTCACTTTTCACAATTGAGGATATCATCCAAAAGTGGGGAGCAGTGGTTGACAAGATTTACAAATCATGGACACCTCAGAGAAGGGATTTGTAAGGCAAAACTTTGATTGTAGCAGTGTTAGGAACCCTGGGCCTTCAGGGTAGGGGGAGTCTATAGAGATGAAGGGGGGTCATGTAATGACTTTGTTTTTGTGACCAATTGGAAGTGCCACATTAAGGGCTGAGTTGTTGGTGGTGTTGCAGGGTGTACAGAAGGCAAATGAAATGCAGCTCAACAAGTTAATTATAGAGGGGGATTCTAAGGTGGTAATTGCTTGGATACTGAACAAGGAGAGGGTCCTTTGGACATACATAAACGAGATCAAGAAGTTTAAGTTCACCATTAGAAGCATTAGTTAAGTTTCAATGGGTTCCAAGATCAGAAAATAATATAGGTGATGCTTTGGCCAAATGAGGGGTTAATAGGGATCAATTGTTTTGGGCTCAGTTGTAAGGGAATGCTTTAGAGAAGGCTAGAGTTGTCTATCTTTATCTCAATGCGGCATGCCTTGTTATTATTATGTTGTATAAAGCAGTGAGACAAATTTCAATGCCACCTCTTACCTTGTTAGTGGATTAGGGTACTAGCGAAAGATGGTTAATCTTTCTTTTCCGGTGTTTTAAAAACACAACGGGCTTTTTTGTACTTGAGGTGCAAGGTGCAAATTTTAAAAAAATAAAAAATGCAAAATAATTCAAAAATATAAAAATTTCAAAATAAATCAAGAAAATATTAAAAAATAGTATTAATTAAAAATGTACAATTTAATTTTAAACTAATGTTTTAAAAATCTTATTATTTCAAATTAAAATTCATAAACATAACATATAAAACATATTCAAAGTGGAAATGCAAAAAATAAAACCAAACATAACATATAAAACATATTCAAGCACTCAACAATTCAAGCATTGTCAAATTTTCAATCTCTTTATTTCTTTCCCAAACACATTATTTCAAATGGCTAATGTGATATTAAACATCTTTCATTCCTAATTCTACAAGCCCTTTGTACCCAATTCCTTGAGACAAGCTCAAACAAGTCCATGTTAGAGTCTTAAATTCTTAATCTGTAAGAAGATAATGGTTTTATAATTTTAATTATAGTTCCTTATTGTTAGAGTCCACTGAGTAGGGGCAGTTCTGTCTTTTTCTCATATCTTGAGTTGTGCTTTGTCAGTTTAGTTTTGTTTTAAGTGAAATGTCCCATACTTAAGTAGGGGCATATTGGACATTGTAATCTGAATAGATAAGTGTATATATTTGTGGTCGGCTGGGAGAGGTTTTTCTTCTCAGTTTGATGGTTTTCTCTTCTCTTCTTTCTTTCCCTTTTCTCTGAACTGGAATTGACTGAACCATCTAAACACTTCTAAAAATTGTTTTGTGCTAAGAAGAATGAAGAAACAACATTAGAAAACAGGGGGTTCCCAAAGCTTAGGTGAGCGAGTGAGGCACATGCCTGAGCACCATGCCTAGTCACAATGCTTCAAAGATCACAAAGTTTAACTGAGGCACATGCCTAAGCTAAGGTGCAAGCTGCACCAGGCACTAGGTGTGTGCCTTTTCAAATGGACTGCACTTGGGCCTAGACAAGGTGAAAAACATGAAATGCGCCTAGATTGTGTGCCTAGGCACACCTTTTAAATCACTGTTCTCGGCTAGTTAATGCTCTATGAGAAGATAGTGTATCTCAGTGTCTCCCTCACCTTTTTGAAGTACAAACAAGAACCATGCCCAAGTCTTTTTTGTTTTTGAAGCTGAATGGCCATTGGCTTTTTATGAGAATGGTTGTGGTCTTTTTCAGGACTTTGGTTTTGAGTTTCGATCTCTGACCTCTTTATGCTGATAAAATGAATGTTATTCTCACTGCTTCAAATCTAATATTCCACAAGTGCAACAAATACATGGAGGTTGACTGCCACTTTATTGGCTATGTTATTCTTTAAAGTGCTATCAGTCTTCCTCAGTTTCTTTTGCCCAAATCATTGGTGTATTTACCTGGGCTTGCCATGACTACATAGTTGACAAACTGATGTTTTTTCCAACTTACCACATCATTTTGATGGGTAGTATGAAAGCTGAAAGGGGCAATTAGACAGTTATCCTGTAATAATATTATTACTACAATTGCATTGTATTATATTCATTTATTTTGTTTTTGGCCCAAGGGCATTTCTGTGAGTTTAGCCGACCTCATATAGTTGGGACCAAGATTTAAAATATCTATACGTACATTACACAAAAATTGCATATCATGCATTTTGAACATTGGATACTCTTATTAAAAATAAAAAATCAGATTGATATTTACAGATAGGCTTGTTAGGATAAATATCCCCCAACTCTAGTATTTTGTGTTTTTGTGACCTTTGATTCCAATTCAATATGTATGACACCATGCGATATGTATCGATACTACCTTAGCTGGGACAAGGCTTTGATGATATGATGATGATACCAATATTGCACGAGCACTTCCAGGGTAGACTTTATAACAATAAAGTTTGTTATAAAAAAGATGTTAAGAAAGCTGTTGATATTTGTTTAGAGTATGGAAAGAGTAAGTCGGTAATTAGGGCTGGCCATTTCATATTCATTGCCTTTTCCTTCACATTTTCCTGTTTGTATTTTGTTTCAACATCCCAGGGATGTATTTTTGTGTTTATTGCAACTTTTTTTGTGCTTTATGTTATTCTCTTGTTATATCATGGCAGGAAACACAACAGACAGTGACAAAGGAAAATACAAACAAGAAATCGAAGGCAGGTGGTGGCAAAAAGAAGTAGTTTTATTGTGTATTTGAAACATTAAGGTTAGTGTTTTGTAATGGTGGTTTTGTTTCGTTGGCTACTATAGTTAAAATGTTCCCGTTGATTCCATGTCGGCAGTCCAACCTTTTTTGTTTCAGTTCAATGTCTAATTTCAAATTTTCACATATTTATGCTAGGGACAATATTGTATGGTGTATAGTGAAAGCGTTGCACTTAGTTTTCATTTCTGTTATTAGAAATGCCTAGTTCTTTTATTTTTCGTAGAGTGAGAAAGTTAAGTTATATTTGTTTAATTTATTTTGATAAATTATATATATTTGTTTGTTTATTTGATAATGTTTGTCTAGATAACCATGCTCTAAGGTGAAAGGTGAATTTGCTTTTTCCTTTTTTGAAGAACTAATTTTTGGCTTATATTAGTTTGCTACAAGGCTCAAAATATCGATAGGGGTGTATCGGGCTATATCGCTACTTTCTTTTTAATTTTTTCAAAACCGGTTCAAGGGAGTTGGTTTAAGCCTCCACCCCCTGAATCAGTTAGAACCCTGATACACCCCTATATCGGGGAGTTCTAGAAACGATATGTTAGATAGTGTATGCCCTTAGTTCCAATCAGATTGATGCATTTATTGTTATTTATTGTAAATGAATAAAGTGCATAATTAATTCGTGTTATTATGGTGTGCTTTTGTGTGATATCTTTAAACTAGATACTAATGAGACTCGTGCTAGTTTAGAATATTTATAGTCATTGGATAGATTTAGGGAGATTTATTTTGTCAAGGCTGTCACTGATGTATCGCCAAGTTGGTTGGGGTGGTTTGTCTCAACTGTTAGGGTGAGACCTGTGGTACATGTAGTGTAGGTTTTCTTAAAACTCTGAATCAGACAAAATTCTAGTATTGCTCTGTACCTTGGAGATAGATGGGCGAAACCGAAATGTTATACCTGATCCCTAGACTCGATTATGGTACTACATTAGGTGTCGGATTGGACTGTCTTTGATATGCCAATCAGTGAAATCCTTAGCGGGGGTCAAAACGTGTGTATGTTGGGATAGTCCGAAAATTCACCATAGTGGTTAATCATAGTGATAGGATCAACCCCTTTATCAAACAAAGTGAATGATTGGAGAATGCACTCTCTGATGGAAACCTAAATTGTCAGCAGTGGATTTCAAATGTGTTTGAAATTTGGTTTTGCAAAATATATTTATATAGAAATATATTTATATATTATGTTTTCACAACTTGTTTGCAAAATGTTATAATTCTCGGGATCTATGTGAGTAGAGTGCAACACTGTATCTTGTAGCCAATGGAGATGTCTATAATCATTGGGCTTGGGCCTAAGGACTGAGAGGTTAAGTGTAAGACCATTGAGAGTTATGCATGATGGTCTAATGTTGCATCTATTCATAGTCTTTGGGCCTTCATAAGATGGTTGAACTTAAGGACCATTTAGTGTAAATGTTGGACCCATTAAGTGTCTATAGTGATGGACTCAGGGGTTTAGTGTGTTTTACAGTGAATTCGGCCAGGTCTTGTAATTAAGAATGGATCGAACACATGTGGCTGATGTGTAGATCAATAATAGGGTCCCACACTATACAAAGAGAGCCAAGTTAGTTAGCATTAAAATGAAGTGACTGAAAGCTTAATGGAGTTAAAGTTCATTTCGAACTGGGTTAATTGGATTAATTAAATAGGGGCGAATCTGGGTATGGATCAGCAGATAAGGATAAGAAGATAACGTTTATCAACTTTAAAGTATCAATATGTATTGGTCCATATGTATTGTATCGGGAGCACCCTGATGCGCCCCTACAGAGGGTGTGTTGGGGTTTTAACCGGTTCAAGGGGTGGAAGGGTCTTATAAAAAGTAAAGAAAAAGGATTGATATTGCTCGATATGCCCCTACCGACGTATTGGGTGTAGATATTTATAACCTTGATTGGGCCTGAAAGACTGATAAGGTATTACAATTTTTATCTCGCTACAGTGTACACCCCCACAACTGATTCCTGAATTTCCAATAGAGCAACCATCAAATTTAAATTTAAGGCTTCCAGCCGTTAGCGGAGACCACTTGGTCTTTGTTGTCTTATGGTTTGAAAGTCGATTATAGCGTATCATTACCTTAGCCTGTGTTTGTTTGAGATATAAATATTTCTCCACTCAGAATGAGTTTTACATCAATAATTGATGTAAACTTCAACTTTGATAAAAAAAGATGTAAGCATTTACATCGATAATCCCGATTTTCATTTGCATCGATTTTAACTTCTAAACCAACCGGTGTATTACCCAGTGAGGCACTCATGTCATTATAAGCTCACAAAACCCCTCAGCCTCCTTTTACCTTTTTTTTTTTAAATATTTTTTGCATCCTCATACCACACCCCATAGCTCTGCTCTTATCACACTGCCATTCGGGTGTCCACAAACCGTTGTCAACCTTGAATAGGTCAATGGTCCAATCATTTGGGTCAGTAGTTCTTTGATCCAATCAATAGATTTTATCACTGTTTTCAGAATCGGACCAAATCGGATGGTCGGACCAGAAAAACTAGGCTAACCGGTTCCATTTTTCTCAAATCGTTTTTTTCTCTCAAAACCGTTGATTTTGGTCAGCAAACTACTGAACCGGTTGGTTGACCGTTCGAACGGTTTTGACTATTTTCTAATTTTTTAATTTTTTTGTTAGAATGGGCCAGTCGTTTGGGTTGAATGGTTGGACCGTTCGAGCCAGTAACCGGACACCTGACCGGTTTGATCACTGGTTCATTTTTAAAAACCATGGATTTTACCAAAATAGCAAGCTGAGCCTGAAATCAAACCAGAAGCATGGCCGGTTTTTGGGCGGAATGCTTCAACTGCCAGGTTCAATGGTGTTTAGAAAATCAAGTTCTTGATATCAGAGATGAACCTTAAATGGTTCATTCCAAACCATCGATATGTATTTGCATTGCACCGTTTCTATCGTATTGGAATCAATGGTCACTCATCACCGACACCGGAAATATTGTGTCATGTGCATCCTAATAAACCCAATTTCAAATAACAAACCGAAAAAAAAGAGAGTAGCAGGTTGTTGATGCCAAGGTTCAAAGTACCGATACTGGCCGATATGCTTGCTGTATTGGTGTTTTTTTTTTTTTTATTTTACTTTTTTTTTGAAATCAGTTCAGAGGGGCCAATTTAATGCCCAACTACCTTCTGAACCAGTGGCTGACCTGACATAGGAGAGTATCAGGAAGCCACTGCCACTGACACGGGTTAATGGATATTAACCAATACGTATCAATACTTTGAACCTTGTTTCAGGGTCGCCCATATATTGGTGAGTTGGAGCATTTTATTAAGTGGTCTAAGCATTAATACCCGGTATAGTTATTAACTTATAATGCCGTCGTATCAGGTAAGATCCGAAAAAATTGGGTCAGTTCTATTTTAAGGTGTTTCGATTGGGACCCGACCCGTTGACGCCCATCTGTGTGGTTTCTCTCTGAAGTTGAAAATGTTGAAGCTTGGTTGTAAACTTGTAACTGGTAACGGTTAATCCACCATCCTCGCAGCTGGCTGGCAGAAATAGAATATACCAGTACGACTGCTGCGAATGGGTCATCCGTCATTCAATTCAATTTCAACGTGATGGCTGAGGCTGGCTCGCCGGTTTCTGACATATGGAATTCATGTGTCAATGGTTTGATCTTTGAATAACGTTCTCACTTCTCAGTTCTCATCCTTGCTGAGCAGCCATCTTTGTATTGTTTGTTGAGTTGCTTGTTTCCTTCATGACTGGTGTGTTGGTGGGTCAATGAAAAGGAAAGCTATCAAGATTCGAGGTGCTGCCATTACTCACCACAGTTGACAGCAAGCCCTTCGGATATTGTAAACAGAATTCGAAAAAAAAGAGCAGCAGCAGTAGGAATACCGTCTCAGTTTGGAAGGAGCATAAATACAAACATTTAGAGTGCAAAACCTTATTTTCACATTTTATATGTATTTGCACTGTATAAATTTGTACTCTTACTAAACTACTGAGTATTAAGAATTGATGTTACAATCCATTAGTTCCACATCGGTAGTATGGGATGCCGTTGTGGGATGTATATGTGTCTGGGTTCCCTCTCTCTAACGACTAGCTTTTAGGGGTAAGTTCTCCTAAGTCACATAACAGATGGTATCAGAGCCTATACTATGCCTTTTGGTTGCAATCATGCGGCACAGGTGATGACATCGGTATTACAGTGTTCGGTTAGGACTAGGGGGACTAATGCAAAGGCAGCCTGCGTGAGCGCCCGAATTACAGAGCGTGGTGGAATGTTATGATCCATTAATCCTACATTGATAGTATGGGATGCTGTTGTGGGTTGTATATGTGTCTGGATTCCCTCCCTCTTAACAGTTAGCTTTTAGGGGTGAGTTCTCCTAAATCATGTAACAATTGATGCCCATTTTGTCTACAATATTAACACTAGTTTGGCAAAAATGCTTTTTCTTTATTGACAAGTGGAAGAAGATATGATTCGAACTTTTTTAATCTACTTGTTGCACCTAAAATTGCTTCCCATTAGATTGTAATTCCTAAACCCTAAATTCGTAAAGGGAAATACTGTTGCATGCGTGGACCATGGAGAGATATGTGTTTATTATTCCATCCTGCGTGCCTTATTCCATTCCACTCCACATGCCATTCAAAAAAAAGCATAAACCATAAATAAACTTCATCTTTGCAAATTCCCCACTTAATCACTTATAACAGAACATGGATTTCGACGTAAAGAAAGGAACAAAAAATGCTTAGAATGATTCCCGGGAAAAATGCAGACGAATTTTATTTTTATCCACCCAAGGACCCAACTAAACTGTGGAAAGTGGAAACCCAGATGAAGAAACAACTTTGTTCAGTGAGTCCCACTCGACTCGAATGTTCCAAATTAAGAAAAGTCGATTACAGTTTATGGAGGTGGCAAACACGCATGTGGTCATTAAACAAACACCTTTAGTTTTCAAGCTTCAACACAGAATCCAACTCCGTGGATGCCTTGGGGATCTTTAAGAAAGATTAAATATATCGATGATCGCAGAAAACGACTAGTAACAGAAAGGTAATATCACTTTAAATAATTTGGAAATGGGAATACATGATCCTACAATCCTACAACAAAGGCAATTACAATATGCTCAACACCTCAGATTATCCAAGTGTCACTCCCCAACATTTTTCATTTGGGTCTTCTGCTTCCTATAAATAGCCCTCCTCACAAACAATGGGATTGTGCATCCAGATCTGGTTTTACGTTTACGTTTGGAGGTCTTGTGAAGGTATGTTCTTTATTTCAAGCTCCATGTTTTATTTTGTTTTTTATTTCATTTAATGGGGTTTTTTTTTGTGTTTTGTTTTTCTTTTGATGTGTTGGAAATTTGAATTGTTCTTACATTTAATGAGATTTTCCGATTCGTTTCACTAATAATTTTCATCTGAGAATTGGATAATGGAAGGAATTTCATATCTGTCTATGTAGTTATTGGAAGCATTTCCTTTGTATTTCTTTATGGGTTTACATGGTCTTATTCTTGTGCCTCTTCTTTCTTCCTAATTTTCTTCTTTCAAATGTTTCTCCAATGATCACATCATAAAGCTTGTCTCTCTTTAATTTCTTTACTACTGTATGTAATACACCACCGATTTTCAAAGTGAGAATATTAACATCGGAATCTACTAGGAGATCTTCTGTGTGTGTTCTTTTAAACGTTCTATTTATTCAGAAATTGGAAGCCTAAGCAGCAGAACTTAGAGTTTGAAGCCACAATTTTACAGGTTTTCTTCTCGAAAATGGATGCTTCCGGCAGGTCAAGTGGAGCCAAGTATGAGTGCTTGCTGTTTGGTAGGTTCCCTGTATCCTAGCAGATGATCTTAGAAACAGAAGTGCAGACTTTGATTATTGTTTGAAGATTCATTCTGAACTAGGGTTTTCCTTTGAATCATATTCGAGCAACTCTTCGTTGAATTAGAAGTTTATATAAATTTGTTTTGTAATTCATGGTTGTTTCCATGATTGGTTTACAGATATGGATGATACCTTGTATCCCTTGAGTAGTGGTCTCAACTTAAAATGCCGGAAGAACATTGAAGGTAAATCTTACAATGATAATGATGATGGTAATCAGGTAATGAGGATATCAAGTGCCGCCATTGCTGATTTTGAGTAATTTCAATTGCAGAGTATATGTTGCAACACTTGAAAATTGAAGAATCTGAAGTGCCTAGAATGTGTTGGGAACTGTACCAGGAGTATGGAACAACAATGGCTGGTCTCAAGGTAGCACAAAACGTGGCTTCAAGCATAGTGTCAATGCAATAGGTTCCTTTCCTCTTTATTGTAATGGTGATATTTCTTTCTTGATAAATATTTGGCTCTTGCAGGCCCTCGGCTATGAATTTGACAATGATGAATTTCATGCTTGTGTTCATGGAAGATTGCCATATGAGACCCTAAAGCCTGATCCAGTTTTGAGGAACCTTCTACATTCCATTCCACAACGTAAAATTGTATGTTGTGTAATAAAAAAAAACAAGATGTGTTTATCATCAAATCTAGAGATTGGGAATAGATACAAGGTTTGAGTGTATTGATATCTATTGGTTTTTGCAGATCTTTACCAATGCAGACAAAGCTCATGCAACTCAGGTTCTTAAAAGGTTGGGTGTGGAAGATTGTTTTGATGGCATTATATGCTTCGAAACTCTTAATCCACCTTTAGAACCTGATAATTGCTCGGGTGATACAGATGAACATGCATTCTCCACAGAAAGTGAATCCGATACTGAAGTTGTTGGTCATATCAATAGCAATGGTTCAGGTTCTAAGTCACGCATTCTCTGTAAACCTTCTCTGGAAGCCATGGAAGCTGCCATTCGGATTGCAAAAATTGATCCAAAGAAAACTGTAAGTACATCATAAAATAATCTTCAGTTATTTTATCAATATGGAACTGATGGTAGGAAATATGCCTTAATTATATTGGCAGATTTTCTTTGATGATAGTGCCCGAAATATTGCGAATGGAAAGGCGGCAGGACTGCATACAGTTATTGTAAGATAGTAATCATGAATTATTGATTTATATGTATCAAAGAACAAAATTTTATCTCAATCTTCAGAAAACTAATATGATCTTTTGCAAAACAACGATGGAATCATGAAAACCAGTATTCAAATTATCAGAGAAAAGGGGCCTCTTAAACAATAATGACACCTTGAGATCCCAACCTGGTTCAAATTGTGGTGATGCTTGGCCTGGGCATTATCCATGCTGATGAACCAAGCCATTTTAAAATTTAAATAGGGGTTGAAATCAATTGGAAAATTTTCTAACCCAATGCAAACCCAAACTTTCTTTTAAGCTGTGGTACTACACACAGACACAGGTGTATGTTACAATTTACAAATCGAGACTCTCTATCCTAAATTTGTTAATAAAGAAACATTTAGGCCTTTTGATTTAATATATATAAATATTCTGATGTATAAGAGCCTTTAATACAGGTTGGTAGATCAGTATTGGTTCCAGGAGCAGACCTTGCTTTGAACAGCATCCACAACATCAGAGAAGCATTGCCTGAGATATGGGAAGGTGAAGGAGACCAGCTGGAGCAAGTCCTTCAATCTACTGCTGTTGAAACTGTTGTCCTTGCTTAAATTACTCACTTAATCCTAGTCTCTATATGTGTACTAATACCTCATATGCAAATATATCCTAATTTCACAAGGAATGGAGAATATTCCTAGTCTGAAGTGAAACCTCTGTCAGTTACTTAGTTTCCAAAGCTTTCCCTTTTATCAATTCCTGATAATTATAATTAAAAACATTGGGGGACCTCTGGATTGCCCATGTAGATGACCAATCCCATTCTGCGACATGGATTTATGTGATCAATCCAGAGCACCCATCAGATTGGGAGGTCTCTACATTGCTCATGTATGTGCTCTCAATCCACAGACGCTATAACTCTCCACCTGTCAGATTGTTACCAAAGAGATTTTAGCTATTGTTGAATGAATGCATAGCAACTAGCAAGGAGAGGTTTCAATGAACCCGTGCAGACATGACAACCTTGCCATTTCAAACGAAACGAACTCCAAATTCCTCATTAGCTATTCCATTTCAGGAAGCTTTTGCCTTGTGCTATTTCTCATTAAACAAACGCACTAAAACCCAGCAACTTCCGCTCTGAGCCTGAGGTTAGAAATTTGGTATTCAATGATTTTCAGAGGTCAAATGGACTATGGACGTATTTTATTACCATATAATGCTTTCTAGTGCAGCACTCCCCTGACTCATGAAACATTTTGATCCCAAGCTATACGTACATTTTGTTCCTATACCAGAGAATAAAGAATAACTTAAATCAAGGATATCCAATACATAAAAGAAAGAAAAGAGCTCTCCACTTGAGAAATGAGAATGTTTCGTGGAGAGAAATACTCACCATATATGAACTGAAATCAATACACACGAGTCCTTAGCCTCTGTGCTGCATCCCAGAACCCGCTACACCCCATTCAAGATAAGTCCTATTTACTCTTCTAGAGAGTTAATTAGCAAGGTAATTGGCTCATCTTAGGATCCAGAACAAATTACTACCCTATAGTCCCCTTATACAGTCATACAGCCAATCACCACCGTATAGTCGTACCCTTCTACAGTAGTCCTATTCCAACCCAAAGCAAATACAAGTTTCAGCCCAACAAGAGGGAAATGATCTTGGTTCTCATAAGTTATCTTCTACTGGCCCCAAGTACCTGACCACAACATTACACTCTCCATCTCTTAGGACTTTAGGAGACCATTCACTAGTTACTCCGAGTGCACTTACGTTTCCTAAAAAAACACCTCGGGTCGAAAAATAACGGAAGAGAATAATCCAGTCCACAATTCTAGGCTATGTTTGATTTGGTAGAACCGTAGAAGACAAGGTTTTTAAAACTGGACTAGACAGGGAACCGTTCTGGGTCCGATTCTCAGGTCAAACAGTCTGACCATCCCATCCAAACGGATGACCCACTCTGACACAAAAAAAAAAAATAAACATAAAAGGCCAAAAACCATTATCTAGATTGATGGTTCGACCACTCAGGTTAGCAGTTCAATGACTAAATTAACGATTTTTAGCCAAAAAGCGGTTTTCGGGTGAAACAGAACCAGTCGGGTAACCAATTTTTCTAGACCGATCCGGTTTTCAAAACACTGGTACAAAATAAGAGGAAAAAAAGTGGAGGGACTTTTAAGAACTTTCCCTCAACTTATTTTTCTCTTATTTTCTAAGCGAAACAAAGTTTCATTGTCTCAAAAAGATTAATTCAAGCTGGTATGAATTAATTACTTCAATAGAGATACATTAGCATTGTAGTTCTGTGGAGTGCTTCAAATATAACTGGATTTGTATATGGAATCTGGCAATCTGCATATTATGCACCTTCACCCAAGATTTTGATAATATAGTGCTCATATGTTGAACATTAATGGACACTTGAACAAATCAAATAAATCCAAAATAGGTTGAACACAAAATTCTACTCTGAGGTCATAGATGAAGAGTGAACCAACTACAAATCAACCATCAACAGGCAGCTCTCCACAGTTGACAATCCTACAGGGCAACCGTGGAGCATCTGATCTGCTTGTTTCTTGGGATTCAAGCTTCCGCACAACTTCCATACCCTCAACAACATGTCCAAACACCACATGCCGTTTGTCCAACCATGGAGTCTACAAAATGCAAATCAATATTATTAATCCCAATTAATAAAAAATTCCATTATATGAACCATACATATCATCCATTACTAAGGCTATGAACAAGTTTTTCATGTATGGGACCTGGACCAATAGACCATTCCTTGGGTGCCTACCCAAAACTAGATCCGGCTTTAGAATCATACTTATGCACATTTTCTGAATTTAACATATTCACTAAGTAGTAAGTCCAGAAAAAGGTTTGACTTAGCAGCACAAAAGATCTAGATGAGACTTGTCAAATAGAATTTCCAACTTTCTTGCATAGGTAACTAGTAGCTGTCTATCAATCTTTTACAACTAGAGAACAAGGACATAAATTCAACTGTATCTTGACCATCCTATCATAAGGTACTTTCATATGTTCTTAGGGTGTTGCAATCATCAGAGATTAACATGATCCCACCCTAAGGCAAACTACAGTTTTTTGAGCAGGCTCCCCTGCAATAATTGGTTACCTAGTGTTGAAATAGGTTGCATCTCTGAACAATTCAACATGAAGAGCAGAGTTTTGTCTAATGTTAATATAACAGATAAGAAAAGAAAAACTTACTAATGTTTAATTATTAACCAAAAAAGGGATGTTGCAATATTTTTTAGCACCCAAGAAAGGGGAAAAGAGGTTTGCAGCTACCTTTACTGTACAAATGAAGAATTGGCTCCCATTTGTATCAGGACCAGCATTAGCCATGCTTAATACTCCAGGTCCAATGTGGATTACTGCAAAAAGGTATGTAAAAACAAGGAAATCAGAAACTTCATCCCATACTAATCATACAGATGATTTAGAGTACTTTCCAGCAAAAGGTGCCATTGAATAGAAAGGAAATGTAACAACATTGTGGAAGACATATTTTATAATGCATTGGACTAAGACCTCTGTAAATCAACCCAGAAAACTGACTACTTCTCAAGGTCTAGGTGTTCCTAGCAAGCTGAGTGATAGTGCAAGGTTAGGACTTACAGGTGAAGTTTTCATCTTCAAAGTTAGAACCATATATACTCATTCCTCCAGTTCCCTGTAACCATTCAAAACCACAACATTATTCTTAGGAGGCAAAACCCCTTTTTCTATGATTGGTATTATCATCTTAGGTTTTCACAACAAACAATAAAAGCTTCCATCCATTTCCAGTATGGGAAGAAGAAGAAAAACTAACATTTCCTGCAGTAAAGTCCCCTCCCTGGATCATGAAATCTTTAATAATGCGGTGGAAAGAGCATCCCTTATAGCCATATCCTTTCTCCCCTGCAAGAAAAAAATGCTGAAAATAAATCCACTAGAATATCCACTACCTGAACACAAAGCAAAAATATTTATTCTGAAAAAAGGGACAAGGCTTGCCTGTGCACAAGGCACGGAAGTTTTCAACAGTTTTTGGAACAACCTCCCCAAAGAGTCCCATTACAATCCTGCCCACTGGCTCACCACCAATTTCTACATCAAAGAAGCATTTCGTTGTTACTTTCGCTTGCAGCTCTAGACCCTAAAACAGTGGAAAAAGACAAAAGGTAGCATTATTTGTATGATAAAGAATAATGTATGTGTACTTTATCTTTTGAATTTGACTGATAGTAATGTCTAACTTAGTGGTCGTTGCTTTGCACAATAGTAAAATGACAATGTAGATTTGAGTCCAGAAGTGGATGAACCCCCAAAAAAAAAAAAATGTTGGAAGTAAGGTCCACATTGAGTGCACCCCTCCCAAGACCTTGCATAGCATGGGCTACCATTTAGCAATGGCCCTTAGTCGGTATGCCCAATTTATCAAAAACAGGATGTGCCCAAATCACCACCCAGAATAAAAGTCATCAAGATTGACTGCATTGCGATAAAAAAGAAAAATAGTTACATGCCTTGTAGTACTTCAGATGGGCAGAATATGCCATATATTGTTTGGTAATATAATGTACCCAAAAAAACACTTGAGATATACTATCCAACTCTAAAATAAATTCCCATGGGAAATAAAAAAACCTAAAATGCACAAAGAGTGCAATATTCTAACCAAGAAAAAATGCAACATTATAGCTGTATAATAGAAAAATAATGCAAAAGCTAAAAAGAGAGTAACAGTTTTTTCCACCATCAATTGTTATTCTTCTTAACTTTCATGTTTTTAGACCATTGGAACATTTTTGAGGCAGTTACCCACATATGTTATGTTTGTGTTGAACAATAACATATAAGATCCATTTGAAGACAGGATTTTAATGATAGATGTGGGTTGTTTCCTTGGTATTGAACGATTCTTAGAATTAGACATTTATGCCATCATCATGAAACAATTTCCGTGCACCTTTAAAGATTGCCTAGAAGCTAAAGGTCAATTAACAATTAGCCGATGTCTAAAGATTGGAATTGCCATATAAAGCCTAGTATGGAGTTTGCGACTTAGTTTCTCTGATACTGACCAATAAGTGGGTGTCAAATCCATCTAAACATATTTTGATTTCAACAAGACAACTGCCAAATGGATCAAACATTAAGGAAAGCAAGACTTAATTGGATTTTGGAGCTTAATAATTTCCACCTTGAGGTAAGAAATGATAACTGGATACTTTGAAGTTGATGTGCATTTTTGGGAAACGATTGCCAAAATCAAATCATTCTGTATTCAGTTTTACTTATCCAATATTTTGAGAAAACAGAGAATCAATATCATCTTGAGAAGCCACTTTTGTATAGACGACACATATCTTGCTTTCTGCCTAAAGTGCATTTCTTCATTGACCTTAATTACAACAGACTGAAGATAAACAACACAAATCCTAAAATGAGACGCCACTAACTACTGATCTTATCTGTTCTCTTGCCTAGAGAAATAGTTTGTATTCCAACTAAGGGCCAAAAAGAGAGCACTTACTTTTGCCGCGGAGTTTGTGCACACCATTCTCTGATATCCAACTGAAGGTACCTTGGAACTCTGTTTAATTGGAAGGGGTGATGCATACAGAGAATGCGATGACAATCCTCTTGCAGGACAGCTTACTATTGGGTGTTTAGAGCACTTGGGCAGAGAAGTTGGAAGCAGAGAAATCATTTGTAGCTTACACACTTTGGAAATTTCACGGCTAAAGCCTCCCTGCGATAAAGTATTCCCAATTATGCACTAGAGATAGAGAATACAAGCTATAAGATTACAATCATGCACTGGAAGTTTTTTTATTTTTATTTTTTTCTGGAAAAAGGTAAGCAGGAATTAAGGAAGACCCCAACCTGTTGTGCTAAAAAAATTACAATCTGGAATGATTGTAATACACCGATACCGAGGATGCTTCAAAAGCTTCTGAAGAAGAAGAAGAAGAAGAAAGAAGAAGAAGAAGAAGAAGAAGAAGAAGAAGCGAGAGAGGCAAACCTTAGGGTGCAAGACAGGACGAGACGCCATTTCCAAGGAGAGTGCGGAGGCCATAGTGGAACTGGAAGGTGGATTGCACTTACGGAAAAAAGGATAAAGCGTAGGAGTAGGACCCCAATAGGGAATTAGGTAGAACTGGAAGTGGGCTTACTCTTATCTAACTAACATGCGCTGTATGCGCATGGACATTTTCCCTCGATTTTAGCGACCGGTCCTCAAAAACTGACCCGCCGGCCCAACCAAGCAACCAACTCCTAGTCTTAGGGTTAGTGGGTTAGCCATTTTCTTCTTTTCTTTCCCTTCGTTTGTTAATCAATACAACCGATCAAATGCTTTTAAGTTTTAAGTTTTAACAAACACACACATGCTGGATTAGTTACGCGTGTGTTTGAAAGCATGGGCGTTTTTTCAATAAACGCTGCCACATAGGTGCCACTTCATCATTTTTCTTTTTATTCTTTCGTACGCATAGAAAATCATAAAAGGTGATTTCGATTTATGTGTATGTCTACCGTTTGGGAAGTTACTTTTTAAAGCTTTCTCCAATGCTTTTCACTGTTATGCTGATGTGATACCTAATGGCACCTACTTGTCATAAACAATTGTAATTATTACTTTTCTCGGTTTTACAAGCAAATAAAAATACAAACGTTGAATAAATCTCCGTCGGGGATAAAAGTTGTCTTCCATACTTGATTCTTGACAAGAACGGGTTCTTTTGCAAGATCCTAGATCCTCAAAATAAATAATATCATATATATATATATATATATATATATATATATATATATATATA